CCAGTCATAAAAGAGCCAAGGTTGCCTACCCCTGCTCTAAACTAATAAAGTCTACATTAATTAACATTAATTATGCTTTCATATGTTCCTCTAGGTCAGGGGTAGGCAAGCTTGGCTCTTTTATGACTCCTGGACTTCAACTCCCAGAATTCCTGAGCCAGCATGGAATCCTCTCCCTTTCCCCTCAGCATGGCTGGCTCAGGAATTCTGGGAGTTCAAGTCCACCAGTCATAAAAGAGCGAAGGTTGCCTACCCCTGGTATAGGTAGTCCTTGACTTACAAAAGTTTGTTTAGTGACCGTTACAAACAGCGCTGAAGAAAGTGGCTTAGGACCATATTTCCCACTTAACGACCGTTGCAGCATTTCCACACTCAGGTGATCAAAATCCAGGTGCTTGGCAACTGACTCGTATTTATGACAGTTGCGGCATCCTGGGGTCACGAGATCCCCTTTTTGCGACCTTCTAAGAAGCAAAGACAGTGGGGGAAGGTAGACTCACTTAACATCCGTGGGACTAAGTTAACATTGCAAGGACTCACTTAACGACGGTGGGGAAAAGGTCGTAAAATGGGGCAAAACTCGCTTTACAAATGTCTCACGTAGCAGCAGAAATGCCACTCTAAATTATAGCCGTAAGTCGAGGGCTACCTGTATTTGTAACCTTTAATAAAATTGTTTAAAAAAAAGATACGAAAAAAATGCCAAATCCTGGTTCTGTCATTTACTAAAAGTCTCTTTTTTTAAAACAACAAAAAATAGGATTACGTGAAGCCGATGTGGATTGCTTGACCTTGGGACAGTACATGCAGCCAACAAAACGGCATTTAAAGGTATTATATATATATTTTTAGAACTAATTGGAAGACTTAAGGCTGTTCATTGCTTACGATACTCTAAAACCCGTTGGAAAATATCTGGACTAATATTAATTGAATTAATATTGATTGTATCCAGTTTTTGGCCGCCACGATGTAAAAAAGAGGTTGAGACTCTAGAAAGAGTGCAGAGAAGAGCAACAAAGATGATTAGAGGTCTGGAGGCTAAAACATATAAGGAACAGTTGCTGGAATTGGGTATGTCTAGTTTAACGAAGAGAAGGACGAGGGGGGACAGGATAGCAGTCTTCCAGTATCTCAGGGGCTGCCACAAAGAAGAGGGAGTCAAGCTATTCTCCAAAGCGCCTGAAGGCAGGACAAGAAGCAACGGATGGAAACTAACCAAGGAGAGAAGCAACCTAGAACTAAGGAGAAATTTCCTCATAGTTAGATGGGGTTTATTTTGGGGATGGGGCTCATATTTTGAGCATCCTGCAAAAATCACGCTAGGGGCTTATTTTCGGGGAAACAGGTATTGTAAATTCAAATTGTCATTAAATGAACTTTTGGAAGTCCAGGGACTATCCGTATAAAAGTGCTTTTGCAAAAACGATTACAAAACGATCCCGCTTCAGATTACCCACAACTCATCTGCTTTTGTAAACATTTTTGTAAAAATTCCAGGTCGAAGAATATATTACTCCGGAGAAATTTAAATACTGGGAAGAAGTTGGAAACAACCTTGGATTTCATTACACGGCCAGCGGGCCTCTCGTGCGTTCTTCTTACAAAGCAGGTAAAATCAAGTCTTCCCATTAGCAGGACCGCCCAGCCCAGACCAAGTATGCAGAGTGCAACATATTCCTCAGTGATCATTAATTAAATGATTCCTAATAAATAGTATTTGGATTTCAAGGGGGCAATTTGCCATTGTCTCTTTCTCAGGGCTTAGAGTGTGTGACTGGCTGAAATCTGGCTGGCTTCCATGCTTGAGGCAGGACTAGAACTCAGATCTTTGGGTTTCTAACCTGATATGTTATCTACTACAGCAAAGTAGCCTTATGTTTTATTTCTACATACTGGTTAAGCAGGTCTGATATTTCAGCTACACTCCATATTAATTAGATCCTCTTGCAGACTTCAGATGTCCCGTGTGCAGCAGTCAGTTGCCAGGGTTAATTTAGATGTAAATTGCTATATATTTTGCAATATTCGTTAACATGCAAGCTCGGTTACAAGTGCCCTTTAAAATCAGAATATGTTCTACTTCTTGAACGACGGATATATTTGAGAAGCTTAAAAATAGATGTTCGGAGCCGTTACATTTTTGAAGCATCCTGCGCGGTGTAATGGCTAATTTCTGAGTTACTGGTGGGGGATCTGCAGTGGTTAGTATTTAGGTTTAAAAAAACCAAAAGATGGTAATTTTTTGAAATATCCTTTGCTTTTTTTTTTGTTTTGACTATGCTGAAACTTGCAGAAGCGTCAAATAGCACAGAAGTGACAAATCCCAGATGTTCTAAGAATTTTAGTTTTTTCCCCATAAAAAGCTCCATTTTCATGTTTAGAATCCCTCCCTTAGTTGATATTTCTCCTGTATTTTCCAGTAATAATGAGAAAATAAAGTACAATTGAAGATTTTGCCGCTACTTTAAAACGTCTGCTTTTGTTTTGGGGCTGTGCAGGTGAATTTTTCTTGAAAAACCTAATCCATAAGAGGAAGAAGAAGGACATCTGATGCCCACAAGAAGAATTCCATTCCTTCCCTTGTCTTCTAGATGGCTACAGCACAGATAAACCCAATTAACCAACTTGGAAGGCTTTTGCTGCTTTGTAAAAAAAAGAATACAAAATATTTTATTTGTTCCTGGACCCTGACATGTTCCAATATTGTACACACACAAAAAAATGTCATTATCCATTATGTGGTATGCATACATAATCAAGAAAAACAGAAGTAGAACGAGGCCCGTACATTAAGGAATCAAAAGATTGATATGCATTTTTTTCCTAGCACATCAATAATCATTGTTTGCTCCATTAACCCCATCCCGTTGTTAACCGTCTTTTCAATGACAATCCTAGTAGTGAGCAACTCAAATCATGATCACCGTTGGCATGTAACACAATAAATGTCTTTTCTCGTTGGACATAAATAGGATTAAAAGCATCTGCGCTGCAAATGATATTCTTGATTAAACTGTTGGATTGGAGCTCAAGACTCAATATTATCTTTTTTTTTACCCACCCACCCCAACTAACAAGATCTCTTTATAAAAGGTACGAATGAATCTCTGAATCAAAAATGAAATCGACGTGCTAATTTAGAGGCAGTTTGACAAAAAAACGATCTCTTGATCCAAGGACTTCCATTTTGATTACGAGCAGAGCAAATGTGTTGAGAATTACACAACAGTCCCATTGCAGTGATGGCTATTCCAATTTTGTATTTATTCCTCGGAAAACATCCTATGGGTCATTATTTTACATGTCCTAGTTTACTGGAACAAGCTGCCAAAAAATAAATAAAAAATCAGATCTCTGTGTCCTGTAATAAGGATGAGGAAAGATGTTGGTAAGATTAATATCAAAGACTCTGAACAATAAGCAAACATTCCCAGACATTTTAAGGATATTCTGTGTCCCAGTTCAGGCGACATGCTTAAAACCATATTTTGCCTTGTTTGGTGTTGGCTTATGGTATTGTACGAACCCAACCAACTTTGATTTATTCAGTAAACCACGGTTACACTAAGTCAGAACTTAATATAGTGTACTAAAATCAGATCAATTCCATAGGTGGAGGGAATTATAAATTTCCAACTCTGTTTTTAGTCACAGTACGAAATGCGTGCTTTGCTTAGCTTCTAAGGTGGGCTTCTGTAGAAACCTCTGGAAGTGATGGTCAACGTATCAGCAGCTGAAGAGAAAGCAGAATTAATAAATTTCCTATTTGGGCCCTTCTCTGGAATAAGCATTATTTTTATGCAAAGAACCTCAACCGTCATTTCATTAATGCCTCGGTTTCACTCATGAAAAAAAAAAAATCTTCGCTGGAGTCTCCACAACCTGACAAAGTCTCATTTAAACTTCCAACACGAACAATGTTGCAGAGTATAAATAGATGACTATCCATTTAGGAAATCTCTTAACTTTCTTCTACTTTCAACTCCCAAGACATAAAACTAAGTTTGCGAATCTCGCAAAAACCTAATCTTGACGTTCGAAGCCGATGGGGTCGTTCCGTTAAAAAAATATTAAAAGACGACGGCTGGGTAGTTCACGCATCATGGGTAGAAGTTACAATATTGGAAAAATAGACGGTATAAAACAATCTGGCTGAAAATGTCCCATATACAACGGTGCTGTACAATAACGGTTCGTATAAAAATCCTTTTCCCTATGCAAAAAAATACTAAACTTTCTTTAGCCAGAGCTGAGCGCGGTTAAGTGGGATTTCAGTGGGAGATTATTTAAAATCTCCCATTGAAATAAAATCCTCTGAAAAGGCTTGACTGAGGCTGAAAGGTGCCTGTTATTTTCCTCTGTTTTCCTTCTTATTCCAACTTTTCTGTACCAACGACGCCTACACCCTCGGCTTCTTTAGAGGGGGGTCCTGCAGGCTGAATTTTGGGATGTCGCCGGACGAAGCGAAGGGAATCCTTTTGGCTGATATCTTCTTTCCGATTGTCTCGACCTGAAGCAAAAGGAAAACGATACACAGTCAGCGGACAAAGCACATCCTAAGCTGATCTTCCCATTTCTGAAAAAATAATAATAATGAAATCCTGTCCCTTTTTTCTAAGGCCACCCAGAGCAGGGAAAGGACTGTTAACGGCTTTGCGCAAACGGTGTCAACGCTGTAAACATGGGGATGTTCCCGCTCTGACAACTGATGAAAATTGCAGCTATTTTCTCTTTGCTTTTAACATGCTTTTTCTGGTATTTAGAAATTAGTGTGCAGAAGGGGGGGGGGGTTTGAGATGAAAGCTTGAGCTCAGCTAGCCATAGTAATAATAATGCTGCTTTGTGGGAACCCAAGGATGAGCTGATAACGTTTTGGGAGCTGGGGAGAAAGCCCGTGTTTTAGGCTAATTGGAGAATGTGATTTATGACAACTGATTGGGGGTGGGAATTGCACTTTGTATCCAAGGGGAAGGGAATTTAGTTTTGGGGTTCAACTATGTAGTGCCAATCCTTTGTTTCCTGAATAAAATGTCTTTTAAGGAAGAATTTTTTGCCTTCAAAGTTCTTTTGATGGGTTTCATCTATGGGAACCATGACAGTTGGCTTACGGTACTGTACGAAGCCAACCAACGTTGATTTATTCAGTAAACCACGGTTACAGTAAGTCAGAACTCCATGTGGCGTCCTTAAAATCAGATCGATTCCACAGGTGGAGGGAATTATAAATTCCCAACTCTGTTTTTAATCACGGTACGAAATGCGTGCTCGGCTTAGCTTCTAAAGTGGGCTTCCGTGGAAACCTCTGAAAGTGATGGTCAACGAATCAGCAACTGAAGAGAAAGCAGAATTAATCATTTCCTATTTGGGGCCTTCTCTGGAATAAGCTTCATTTTTATGCAAAGAACCTCAACCATCGTTTTTCATTAATGCCTCGGCTTCACTCATGAAAAAAGTATGGAAGAAGTTCCGTACCTGGAATCCGATCCCTTGCAGCTTATTATGAAGATCGTCAAGGACTCTCCGGCCATCGAAGATAAATGCCGGCTTCAGCATTCTCTTGTGAATGCGCTCGTAATCCAGCTCCTGTAAATAATGACCAACAATGTTTCAATGATGGGAACGAGTTTTGTGTTGGATACTCTTTTATGTGGAGCCTCGTTGTATTTACCTTAAACATGTCCCACTCGGTGCAAATTACTAGAGCGTGGGCCTCGTCACAGGCTTCGTAGGGGTCCTTGCTAATGGTGACCAGTCGGGAGACTAAAATGGGAAGACAAAGAGGGAAAAGTTGGCATCAAACCCTGAGCATCCATTGGGCAAAGAGAATCCCATTTAAACTTGTTGATTTCAACGGGAGAGGTTGAAGCCCTTGACAGAAAAACAGAATAACAGAGTTGGAAGGGATCTTGGAGGTCTTCTAGTCCAACCACCCCCCCACCCCCCGGCTCTGTACAGACTTGCCAACTTGATCAGACTGGGAAACATTTTTAGAAAGCTAATCCCACTCACCTTGGTCATCCTCTGACACACCTGGGTGAGAGAGGTCAAGAATGATTTGCGACTTCAGCACTTTGGGATCGTAGATGTGGAGTCTGGCACCTTCGTCCATCAAGTATTTGCTGATGTAGATACTGGATGATTCTCTAAAAACAAAACGTACAACGTCCTGAAATCGCTACCTCTGTTGACCATCGTCTACGCTTGGACCCAGGACACCTGGGTTGAGAAGGCAGGTAATTGTTACCCTAAAAACAGATGGGTATTAGAATAAGCACCCACTGGATGTGATGAGATTTACTTCTGGGCAAAGCACTGAGTGCTTGTGTACCCTGATATAAATTCCTTCTGAGAAAGAAAGAAAGAAAGAAAGAAAGAAAGAAAGAAAGAAAGAAAGAAAGAAAGAAAGAAAGAAAGAAAGAAAGAAAGAAAGAAAGAAAGAAAGAAAGAAAGAAAGAAAGAAAGAAAGAAAACCCACTTCAAGCAGAGAAATGGAGGAAACAGGATTTTAAAGTGGAAGGAAGGAAGACCCACCTCAAGCAGAGAAATGGAGGAAACAGAATGTTTTAAAGAGGAAGGAAGGAGAAAGAAAGAAAGAAAGAAAGAAAGAAAGAAAGAAAGAAAGAGTCCAGAGAATTTGCAATTAAAACTCTATCCATTTTTATCTATCCATCCATCCATCTACAGTATCTATCTATCTATCTATCTATCTATCTATCTATCTATCTATCTATCTATCTATCTATCTATCTATCTATCTATCTATCCATCCATCCATCCATCCATCCATCCATCCATCCATCCATCCATCCATCCATGTATCTATCACCTGTCACATTTTTAATCTAATCTTAACACACTGGAACTATAAATGTGGTTTTGCAAACAAGATGTTTAGAAATCAAAGTGGAATTATTCGTAGTAAAACATAAAACCAAACTGCAGCAAAAGAATCAAGATAGATAACTTCCTACTCGCCCTGTAATCCCTTCTAAAGTTTAAAGGAATTTTAAAAAAAAACCAAGCACCTTGCTTACTTCAATCTCAGAGAAGGTGTTTTGAACTATCAACCAGGGGTCACTGTTTAAGCATAGATCTGAATGCTCTGCTAGCCCCAGGGCCATAAACAGAAGGCAAAAGGTGACTAGCACCAAGTTCATGGAGGCGATAAACTCTGGTTTTACCTGGTATCTCCCGTGTCCTTTTTAAACGCAAATCCCAAAATTGCAATCTTCTTATCGGTGACGGTGTTGAAGAGGCTATCAATGATCCGGGAAGCGAATCTCCTTCTCTGATAGTCATTCATGTCAATCACCTGCAATCACGGGTTGAAAAAAAACAGAAGGGGGAAGAAAGAGATATAGCAAATTTCCAATCTCTCAGGGGCTGCCCCAAAGAAGACGGAGTCAAGCTATTTTCCAAAGCGCCTGAAGGCAGGACAAGAAGCAACAGATGGAAACTAATCAAGGAGAGAAGCAACCTAGAACTAAGGAGAGACTTCCTGACAGTGAGAACCAGTGGAACAACTTGCCTCCAGAAGCGGTGAATGCTCCAACACTGGAAGTTTTTAAGAAGAGACTGGACAGCCATTTGTCTGAAATGGTATAGGCCAGGGGTAGGCAACCTTGGCTCTTTTATGACTCGTGGACTTCAACTCCCAGAATTCCTGAGCCAGCATGGCTCAGCTTGGAAACCTCTCCCTTTCCCCTCAGCATGGTTGGCTCAGGAATTCTGGGAGTTGAAGTCCACGAGTCATAAAAGAGCCAAGGTTGCCTACCCCTGGTATAGGGTTTCCTGCCTGAGCAGGAGGTTGGATTAGATGACCTCCAAGGTCCCTTCCAACTTTATTGTTATTATTCATTAGACATAAACCTCAGTCAACTGAACATTCAAATTGGCTGGCGCTGATAGTTGACACGGGTTGTTGTTATTATTGTTTATTATGGATCATCGCAGTCAGCCAGATGTTCAGACTGGATTTGGCATTTTGTCTACCTATCGAGTCCTTACCCAGGACCTGGGATAGGCAGATGTGGATGTTTGATGTTATTACAGATCTCGTCGCAGGATGGAAGCAGTTCGTAGTAAGGCCGCCTTTTGCAATTGACTAATGGCGAGTTTGTCAATGCCGATGATGGTGTTCAAGTGGTGCTCCAGTTGTTTTGGGATTGCACTCAAGAAGCCTATGACTATTGGTACTACCCTTGCTTGCTTTTGCCACAGTCTTTCTATTTCTATTTGTAGGTCTTTGTATTTTGTGATCTTCTCCAGTTCTTTCTCGTCTATTCTGCTGTCTCCAGGCACTGCCATGTCCACTATCCAGACTTTTTTGTCTTTCTTATCGACAATTGTTGTTGTTGTTGTTGTTGTTGTTATTATTAAAATTAGATTAATCACGTTCCATTAGGATTGACTCCCCCCCTAAGCCCGCCTCTGTCTTACCTGTTGCCAATAGCGAGCCACTTCGGGTAAGTTCAGAGCCTCGCAAAGATAAACCAAGTTGAGAACGTCTTTTTGGAAACAGCTGCCACCAAAACCTGGGGAGAGAGGGGGGGGCAAAACCAGGAATTGGGTATCCCGATTCAAGGACGATGTTATTCGTTTTCAAGGGCCTCCCCTTTCCTATCACGGCCTTTTGCCCTCGTCTACCTGAGGTTAACTAGATTTAGGAAATTGGGGGGGGTGTCTTTCCTGTAGTTGCTCCGCAGTCGTGGGACTTCCATAAGTGTACTTTAATGGTATCCCATTTCCCTACGGGTGGTCCCCGACTTGCAATTTGCTTAGTGTCCGTGAAGTTACAACGGCGCTGAAAAAAGCGACATAGGACCAATTTTCGCACTTACGACCGTTGCAGACTCCCCCCGGGGTCATGTGGTTTACATGACGACGCTTGGCAGCTGCTTCGTATTTATGACGGTTGCAGCGTCCTGGGATGACGGGATCCCCTCTTTTGCAACCTTGCGACAAGCAAAGCCAATGGGGAAGATGGATCCACTTAACAACCGACTCATATGTATGACGGCGGCAGTGTCCCAGGGTATGTGATCCCATTTGCGGCCTTCGGACAAGCAAAGCCAATGGGGAAGATGGATCCATTTAACAACCGACTCATATGTATGACGGCGGCAGTGTCCCAGGGTATGTGATCCCATTTGCGACCTTGCGACAAGCAAAGCCAATCGGGAAGATGGATCCACTTAACAACCAACTAATATGTATGACAGTGTTAGTGTCCCAGGGTATGTGATCCCATTTGTGGCCTTCAGACAAGCAAAGCCAATGGGGAAGATGGATCCACTTAACAACCGACTCATATGTATGACGGCGGCAGTGTCTCAGGGTATGTGATCCCCTTTTGCGACCTGGATTGATTGAATGACCGTGTTACTAACTTAACAACTGCAGCGATTCCTTTAATCATTGTAGCAAGACAAGTCATAAAAAGGGGTAAAATTTACAATTGTCTCGCTTAGCCACAAAAAATGTGGGCTCAAATGTGGTCGTTAAGTCAAGGACCACCTCTATTATAGAAGCCACGCTTAAAATAGACTTTTGGCGTGGGGGGCTGGAAATATTTTAACTACAGTAGTGGCCAAAATTGTGGAAGCCTTTTGGGAAAAGTGTACCGTAGAAATGCCACCTTTGTTTAAGTTTCCACCCATTTTTCCTTCTAATTTCTTTATAACTGTAGCCTTGTTCACTTAATAATACTATTTTACATCGCTTTCTGGGCAACCAGTCAACTCTTTGCACCATGACTTTAATTTTATTATGTTTTACAAGCTCACTAAAGGAAAGGACACAAAAAACCCCAACCAACTTGACGACGATCACATAACACACTGACAAATGTCCTCCTCTCAGCTTCAATACACGACATCAATAACCAAATCCTACTGTGATCTGATTGGCTCGTTGCCAAAACAAGATGACACCCGATTGGCTCTCTAAACACTCCTGCTCATTGGCTACAATCAGATGAAGGAAAGCTACCTGAGATCCACCTAAGCAAGTTGTGCTTCCTTTTTCTGGTTCTTTGGCTATAACTTTTCATAGGATACAGTACAGATAATTGAACAAACTATGTCNCAGAATTCCTGAGCCAGCATGGCTCAGCTTGGAAACCTCTCCCTTTCCCCTCAGCATGGCTGGCTCAGGAATTCTGGGAGTTGAAGTCCACGAGTCATAAAAGAGCCAAGGTTGCCTACCCCTGGTATAGGGTTTCCTGCCTGAGCAGGAGGTTGGACTAGATGACCTCCAAGGTCCCTTCCAACTTTATTGTTATTATTCATTAGACATAAACCTCAGTCAACTGAACATTCAAATTGGCTGGCGCTGATGGTTGACACGGGTTGTTATTGTTTTTTTTTAATTATTATTATTATTATTATTATTATTATTATTATTATTATTATTATTATTATTATTATTATTATTATTATTATTATTACTATTACTATTATTACTATTATTATTAAAATTAGATTAATCACGTTCCATTAAGATTGACTCCCCCCCCCAAAAGCCCGCCTCTGTCTTACCTGTTGCCAATAGCGAGCCACTTCAGGTAAGTTCAGAGCCTCGCAAAGGTAAACCAAGTTGAGAACGTCTTTTTGGAAACAGCTGCCACCAAAACCTGGGGAGAGAGGGGGGGGGCAAAACCAGGAATTGGGTATCCCGATTCAAGGACGATGTTATTCGTTTTCAAGGGCCTCCCCTTTCCTATCACGGCCTTTTGCCCTCGTCTACCTGAGGTTAACTAGATTTAGGAAATTGGGAGGGGGGGGTCTTTCCTGTAGTTGCTTCGCAGTCGTGGGACTTCCATAAGCGTACTTTAATGGTATCCCATTTCCCTACAGGTGGTCCCCGACTTGCAATTCGCTTAGTGTCCGTGAAGTTACAACGGCGCTGAAAAAAGCGACATAGGACCAATTTTCGCACTTACGACCGTTGCAGACTCCCCCCGGGGTCATGTGGTTTACATGACGACGCTTGGCAGCTGCTTCGTATTTATGACGGTTGCAGCGTCCTGGGATGACGGGATCCCCTCTTTTGCGACCTTGCGACAAGCAAAGCCAATGGGGAAGATGGATCCACTTAACAACTGACTCATATGTATGACGGCGGCAGTGTCCCAGGGTATGTGATCCCATTTGCAGCCTTCGGACAAGCAAAGCCAATGGAGAAGATGGATCCACTTAACAACCGACTCATATGTATGACGGCAGTGTCCCAGGGTATGTGATCCCATTTGCGGCCCTCAGACAAGCAAAGCCAATGGGGAAGATGGATCCACTTAACAACTGACTCATATGTATGACGGCGGCAGTGTCCCAGGGTATGTGATCCCCTTTTGCGACCTGGATTGATTCAATGACCGTGTTACTAACTTAACAACTACAGCGATTCCTTTAATCATTGTAGTAAGACAAGTCATAAAAAGGGGTAAAATTTACTTAACAATTGTCTCGCTTAGCCACAAAAAATGTGGGTTCAAATGTGGTCGTAAGTCAAGGACCACCTCTATTATAGAAGCCAGGCTTAAAATAGACTTTTGGGGCGGGGGGCTGGAAATATTTTAACTACAGTAGTGGCCAAAATTGTGGAAGCCTTTTGGGAAAAGTGTACCGTAGAAATGCCACCTTTGTTTAAGTTTCCACCCATTTTTCCTTCTAATTTCTTTATAACTGTAGCCTTGTTCACTTAATAATACTATTTTACATCGCTTTCTGGGCAACCAGTCAACTCTTTGCACCATGACTTTAATTTTATTATGTTTTACAAGCTCACTAAAGGAAAGGACACAAAAAACCCCAACCAACTTGACGACGATCACATAACACACTGACAAATGTCCTCCTCTCAGCTTCAATACACGACATCAATAACCGAATCCTACTGTGATCTGATTGGCTCGTTGCCAAAACAAGATGACACCCGATTGGCTCTCTAAACACTCCTGCTCATTGGCTACAATCAGATGAAGGAAAGCTACCTGAGATCCACCTAAGCAAGTTGTGCTTCCTTTTTCTGGTTCTTTGGCTATAACTTTTCATAGGATACAGTACAGATAATTGAACAAACTATGTCGCATGACATTCTTGATTAAATTATCTTTCCATTGATATATAATTTTATGGTACTATTAAAACAAAAAGTGGTGTTATTAGCCATCAAACCTCAAAAGTACACTTTTCCCAAAAGGTTTCCACAATTTTGGCCATTACTGTAAACTCAGTAACAATACCTTCCACCTTTGGGTTTCTCACACCTAGAAATTCACGGCTCTTCGGAACTCACCAACACTGGCTTTCAAGAATTTGTTTCCAATTCTCTGGTCCATCCCGATGGCTCTGGCCACCTCTTCCACATCGGCCCCCGTGGCTTCGCAGAGAGCGCTGATGGAATTGATGCTGGAGATCCTCTGAGCAAGGAAAGCGTTAGCGGCCTGGGGTGGAAGCAAAGAGAGAGAGCAAAGCACAGCGTCATTTCAGCAGAAACGCAGGAATCAGGGAACGAAGCGGCACCGTAGAAAAAAGAAAACGATAGAATTGACGCATCAGATCATCACCCTTGTTTATTGTTATGATAATAGGGTTGTGCCCGCCTTAAAAATGATTCAGAGATTCTTGCGTGCACGGAGTTCTGGGTTCCAGCATCAAATGGCTTAATAAAACACAAATCGGGGTATTGTGGCCCAATGGCAGATCAACTAAACTGAAAAAGTGTACACTAGATCAGGGATCCCCAACCCCTGGTCCGTGGGCCGGTAACGGGTCATGGCATGCCATAGCAACCGGTCCGCACAAACAAGCAAAGCCCCATCCACGGGATGCAGGCAGCACACAAAACCACACATTCTATTCTATTCTATTCTATTCTATTCTATTCTATTCTATTCTATTCTATTCTATTCTATTTATTTCTATTCTATTTTTTCTAATTCTATTCTTCATTTCTCTACTCTACTCCATATTTTCTTTATTCTATTCTATTCTATTCCATATTTTCTATTCTGTTCTATTCTATTCTTCATTTCCCTATTCTACTCTATTCCATTCCATATTTTCTTTTCTATTCTATTCCATATTTTCTATTCTATTCTATTCTATTCTTCATTTCTCTATTCTACTCTACTCTATTCCACTCCATATTTTCTTTTCTATTCTATTCTATTCCATATTTTCTATTCTATTCTATTCTATTCTATTCTATTCTATTCTATTCTATTCCATATTTTCTATTCTATTCTATTCTATTCTTCATTTCTCTATTCTATTCTATTCTATTCTATTCTTCATTTCTCTATTCTATTCTATTCTATTCCATATTTTCTATTCTATTCTATTCTATTCTATTCTATTCCATATTTTCTATTCTATTCCATATTTTCTATTCTATTCTTCATTTTTCTATTCTATTCTATTCTATTCTATTCTATTCTATTCTATTCTATTCTATTCTATTCTATTCTATTCTACTCTACTCTGTTCTATTCTATTCTATTCCTATTCTGTTCTATTCCATTCTATTCCGTTCTATTCTACTCCACTCCACTCTACTCTACACTCCATTCCACTCTTATTATTTAAGTTGAGGACTCCCTATATACCATTCTACCTTTTCTGATGATACCAACCAGTTTGGACAGCTCCGAAGACCACGTATTTGTGGTCAGGATCTTCTCTCTGGGCACCCACTGCTCATAGACGGCACTCAATGCACGGACGGCTTTCTGCCCCTCGGGCGTCTCATCTCCCCCTATCAATACGCGGTCCGGATTCTTGAGGTCCTTCACGGCCGTGCCCTCCGCTAAGAATTCCGGGTTGGATAAGACCTGCGGCCGAGAACAAAAGAGACTGATTTTCCCGACGCAACAGACCGGAATCGCACCCCTTTCGGTTCGCAAGCGTGGGACATCTTACCTGCAGATTTAAATTCGGTTTCGTGTTGGCGTCGAATATGCGGCGTATGCTCTCCGCGGCCCGCACGGGAACGGTGCTTTTCTCGGTCACAATTTTATAACCGTTGGAGTTTTGCACGATCCTTCTTGCGCAAGCCTCGATATATTTCAGGTCCGCAGCCCGGCCTTTCCCCATGCCGTAGGTCTTGGTTGGGGTGTTAACCTGGGTGAAGAGGTTGTTTTTGAAAAGGAGACAAAAGGTAACGACCGGATTCAACTGTGCATCATGAACGGTATCGCGAGTTTATTTTTGTTAAGATCTGGAGAAAACACTTGAGATGCATCTGAGGTCCTTCACTTCAAAAAATAATAATAATAATAATAATAATAATAATAATAATAATAATAATAATAATAATAATAATAATAATAATAATAATAATAATAATAATAATAAAGTTGGAAGGGATCTTGGAGGTCATCAAGTCCAACCCCCTGCTCAGGCAGGAAATGCTAGACTATTTCAGACCAATGGCCGTCCAGTCTCTTCTTAAAAACTTCCAGTTTTGGAGCATTCACCGTTTCTGGAGGCAGGCTGTTCCACTGGTTAATTGTTCTAACTGTCAGGAAGTTTCTCCTTAGTTCTAGGTTGCTTCTCTCCTTGATCAGTTTCCATCCGTTGCTTCTTGTCCTGCCTTCAGGCGCTTTGGAGAATAGCTTGACTCCCTCTTCTTTGGGGCAGCCCCTGAGATACTGGAAGACTGCTCTCCTGTCCCCCCTCGTCCTCCTCTTCATTAAACTAGACATACCCAATTCCAGCAACCGTTCCTTGTATGTTTTATGTTTTATTGTATTGTCAGTTGTTCAGAATCCAGCCTCTGTCTGTCCGTGTTAATTTATTTAAATGTAAGCAAATGAAAAGTCACTTCCAATTTAGGAAGCTCAACAACCTCTTTCCTGTTTCTCAGTTTTAACTGAGCCTCTCCTTTCTTTTCATCCCATTTCCCTAAATTAAATCCACAAACGCATTGTAGTGGGTGAGCCTTCTGCTATTATATTTGGTAGCATTCTTATCTTTAAAAAACAACAACAACCCAGAATCATCCTGAAATTCTACAGGCATCTCCCTAGGGATCCGATATTGATGGGTGTGTAAAAGGATTAGGGCTCCCTTCACAACTTTTCCGGTTGCCGTTGTGTTGATTTGGATTCTTCTCCCACCCACCCGACCTCCAGCAGATATCCTTGGTTTGCATGCCAGAATTCCTACTTCGAAGGAGTTACTGCCTTTCAGCATGGATAATATTGAGAGAAAATGGTTGCAGGAATTGGGGGCGTCCAGTTTAACGAAGAGAAGCACGAGGGGGGACATAATAGCAGTCTTCCAGTATCTCAGGGGCTGCCCCAAAGAAGAGGGAGTCAAGCTATTCTCCAAAGCGCCTGAAGGCAAACACAAGAAGCAACGGATGGAAACTAATCAAGGAGAGAAGCAATTTAGAACTAAGGAGAAACTTCCTGACAATTAGAACAATTAACCAGTGGAACAACCTGCCTCCAGAAGCGGTGAATGCTCCAACACTGCAAGTTTTAAGAAGAGACTGGACAGCCATTTGTCTGAAATGGTCTAGGGTTTCCTGCCTGAGCAGGGGGTTGGACTTGATGACCTCCAAGGTCCCTTCCAACTTTATCATTATTATTATTATTAAGAAGCAACGGATGGAAACTAATCAAGGAGAGAAGCAACCTAGAACTAAGGAGAAACTTCCTGACAGTTAGAACAATTCACCAGTGGAACAACCTGCCTCCAGAAGCGATGAATGCTCGAACACTGGAAGTTTTTAAGAAGAGACTGGACAGCCATTTGTCTGAAATGGTATAGGGTTTCCTGCCTGAGCAGGGGGTTGGACTAGATGACCTCCAAGGGCCCTTCTAACTTTTATTATTATTATTGCAAGCAAAATGTAATTTTCTTTTAATAATTGTTTTTATTTTATTCAGAAAGTTAAACTACAAACTCCACCCCCCCCAAAAAAAAAATCAAAGGAGAAAAAAAAAGACATTTTGCAAAAACAAAAGCACAATTAGACGAGACTTTACAAAAATTGTCTAATTTTGTTTGGTTTTAAGCAAAAGGCAACTTCTTGTCTTGCAAAACGGGGCAGGCCTAAATGCCTCTTTTGAACAGCACATATAAATTCGGGAATATAAGATTCCTCTTCTTAAATTCCCACCTGTGTCTTCTAACACTTAATAGGGAATTGTTCCTAATGGATTTAGAGGAATTTCAGTCACTGTCGTTTAATCAAACTACGAATTTTCTCCATCAAACATGTTAATTAAGAACACCATCCTTTCTTAAACCTCCTTTTTACGGCGACTCTAGAAAACCTGATAGTAGACTATACAGCCTGTTATTAGCACTCTGCAAATATTCTGCTTTTTAAACTAGCTGGGCTTCTGGATCCCACCAAGGGAAGCTTGTTCCTCTTTTTGTCCAATGAATTTAGAAGCCGAGTGAAAAATATTGCTGGCATTTGTGATGAACTGGGTATCTCCGCCTGGTTTTCTCCCCTTGCCCCTCTGATCTGAACTTTTCACAGGTGAAATTTAAAAAGTAAAAAGGAAATGTGAATTACTTACAGAAATAAATACAAGATCAGCTTCCCTGATGGCATCATCAATGTCGGTGGAGAAAAAGAGGTTGTTTCCTCTGCATGATTCTACTACCTCTTTAAGTCCTGGCTGGGGGGAGAAAAAAATACCGGCAAAAAGAACATTTTAGATGGGTTTTATTCAAGAGGAGCATGGCTGAAAGGGGCAAAGCAGGACGAAGGGGATTGACAGGTGTCACATCTTCACGCAACGTGACACGGGTAATGGACCTGTGTCACTGCACAACGATGTCACAATGCATGCAACATCGTTTTGGTATCATTGTGTGACTTCTACCCAATGCTTATATATCACGACAAGCAGTCCTCAGCTTATGACCACAACTGAGCCTCAAAATTGCTGTTGCTAAGGGCGACAGCTGTTAAGTGAATTTCGCTCCATTTTACGACCTTTCTTGCCACAGTTGTTAAGTGAATCGCTGCAGTTGTTCAGTTAGTAACAGCAAATCTGGCTTCCCCCAATTGACTTTGCCTGTCGGAAGGTCGCAAAAGGGGATCACGGGTCCCCGGGACGCTGCAACCGTCATAAATATGAGTCAGTTGCCAAGCATCCAAGTTTTGATCACGTGACGATTTGGGATGCTGCAACGGTTGTAAGTGTGAAAAACTCTCATAGGTCATTTTTTTTCAGTGCCGTTGTAACTCCGAATGGTCACTAAACGAACCATTGTAAGTCAAGGACTACCAGTGCTGGCTTAAAATACACATCTCTAAATAATGCTGAGGTTTGATCTGGCTCAGGATGATGGAAGAAGATTCCTTGCCTTCTGGCTAACATCCCGCAGAAATGGAGGGCGCTGCCTGATAAAACTGTAGTAGAATTATGAGCCAGCCAGAGTCATCGGTGAGATGGGCAGATATAGAAACTGGAGAAATAAATACATAAATAAAAATAAAAAAACAACGTCGTTCCTTCGCTGTGGATCAGCAGAGACTTCTGGGGTCCTTGGTGTTCTCTGAGCTGGGTTGTTTTCTTGCAGACGTTTCATTACCCAAATAGGTAACATCATCAATGCTACAAGGGAATGGGATTTGTAGGGAGGAGGAGGAGGAGGAGGAGGAGGAGGAGGAGAAGGAGAAGGAGAAGGAGAAGGAGAAGGAGAAGGAGAAGAAAAGGACTGTGGGGTCCTTGGTGCTCTCTGAGCTTGGTGGTTTTCTTGCAGATGTTTCATTACCCAAATAGGTAACATCATCAGTG